CATATTGTCTTAATACATATATCCTAATATATATATATTAGGAAAGTAATTTCTTTAATATAGTTCATCACAGACAGCAGTGATACTATAGCAATCATTCCCACTGGAATGTCTTCAAATGGAATATGCTTCGTTCTTACCAAGAAAATAAAAAGCAACTTGTTTTCTACTGTTTCAGGTACGAGAGGGAATTGTTGGTGCTCAACTACCTTTTCCACAACTGCCTACCTCTCACTTCCTATTTCTTTCCACCTGTTACTCATCTGAGTTGGGGTATTAGAAACTCCATCATATTCCTACCCAATGATCAGCTTCTTCGTCTGTTTTGAATTACAGACTTACCTGAAAATCTGTGCTATTTTCTTCTCAGAAAAAAAAAAAAAGGCACAAATTGGTACAGCATTTTGCATGCAATTTTTGGACCTTCCTAGACCTCTTTAACACCATCTGAGTCCCGCTGGGGACCTCAGGTAAGGAACTTCTGCCCAGGAGCAATCCCTTGATAAAGGCAAGGATGAGCTGATAGTGTGGTACCTATGTGAGATACGGAACCTCCAAAGTATTGCACAAGGTACAGGAAGCTTTATCTAAGGCAACATTTTTAATGCAAAAATGAATTATTAATTACTAAAGTGAGAAAAAGATATTTAGAGACCTAATTCTCAGTAACAGAACCTTTGTTGAATTCTGACTTGAATCAGTGTTACAGGGGAAGATCTGGAGAAATTATACAATCACCTAGTGTTTTAGCAACTTATCTTTTCCAAATAGATGGAGGGTTTAAAGAATTTCTCTACTAATCATATTGTTTATTTTCAGAGTAAAGTTAAGTACAAAGTAAATAGATAAATAAGTCACACTTAAAAGAAAATTGACATTTACCAAGATCACCAAAATTCACATATATTAAAAATAGACCTTGTCTTTGATGTTTATTTCACATTATCTAAGTACATCCAGTTATGCAAATTTACATTTTTATTTCACATCTTTTGTTCCTGATATACATATAACAGGACAAAGAACACATATGCAAGATTCAGCCTGGAAAACCCTGCTCAGAGAAAACAAGATTCTCAGCTGCCTCATTCTTTCTGCATATGTACAAATACAATTCTAAATAACTGAAGTAAAAATCAAGATTGGTAAGAGAAAACAGTGACTAAATTTTCATGCCACCTGAGGTTATTTGTACTTGATTTTTAAAACAGTCTTCTGATTACCGAATTACAATTCAATAGGTAACATTTCTTTGGGAGCTCCTTAAACTATTTCAGGAAGCTTAGGTCTTTGGGGTTCTTCTAACCTGCATGTGGTCGATGCTGGCTACACACCAGTGATGCTTAAATTTTAAGTTGGCATTCTTGTGCTGTGTGTTCACCTAAGCTATTTTTTTCAAGTGGTAGTCAGTATCCGTATCCCTCTTCTATGAAAATCCCTTGCCAGATAGAACATGAGCAATTATTTCTTCAATTAGGCAAAGAAAAAGGACAGGCCAGTTCACTACAGTACTAATTTTAAAGGAAACAATCACATTGCATTAAAGACCTTAACATTTTAGTTACAATGTTATGAGATTCAAATATATCTAAATCACATTAGGATACTAGATGCCTGCGTGTTCATTCTGTTCAATGTTGCCCACGAGATCTTTCATATCACTCATTCCTGGACTTGATCTGCTATTAAAATAGAGAGTGTTTTCAAAAGTGTTCTCTTGAGGTAAGTGCACACGTCTTTTCTTATAAAAGAAATACGCTGCGAGGCCAGCACCCGCTATGATCAGGAGGACCACCATGACAACGACTCCTGCCAGGCTGGAAGAAGGTTTGGAAGGACCCATCTTCCTTGGGTCAGCTAGAAATAAATAAAATAATGAGGAGAAAGGTGGAGGGAGGCAAAAGGTAGAATGCTATGAAGAACAAGACAACTTTCTTTTTTGAAAAGCTAAAATGCATGAATGTCCTTTCATTTCAAATGTTTTTTGACATTTGTCAGACAGAAATGAAGGACATAAAAACAGGAGTCCATGTGACATAGAGGATTGTTTTAGATGTTAAGATTATTGTTCAGTTGCAGGAATATTCCATCTGTTAGTTTTAAATCAATGTGTTTTTGTTGTTGTGTTTTTTAAAGATGTATTTATTTATTTGAGAGAGAGAGAGAGAGAATGAGAGTGTGAGCGTGAGAGCAGGGGGAGGGGCAGAGGGGGAGAGAGAATGAGAGTGTGAGCGTGAGAGCAGGGGGAGGGGCAGAGAGAATCTCAAGCAGACTCTGCACTGAGCACGGAGCCCTGCACAGGGCTCGATCCCAGGACCTATGAGATCACAATCAAAGCCAAAACCAGGAGTCGGATGCTCAACCAACTGAACCACCCAGGCACCCCAGTTAACATCAAGGTTTTAAAATACGCACCCCTGTTTCAAAATAATTTAATGCTGCTTACAAATCCATCATATGAAGATAAATAGTAATAATAATGATGATAAAAAAAAAAGCAAGGGAGAAAATTAGGGAAAAGAGAAAATAAGAGTAGTGGCAATCTGAACTCATGAATATAATCAGTTAACAAATAGCACCCAGGAGGTTAGTAAGGAGGTTGCAGGCAAACCATAAATCTGAGGGTTTTTTAGCTGCCAACAAAATTGGCAAAATAAGATCAGTTACCATCAGTTACCTGATTCAAGTTGTCTATAAAAATAAAATTTAAAACATTGCTTAAAAAAAAAGAAGAAAAAAACCCGCAAGGATTCCAGAGAAATCTCTCCTGTCGTTTCCACGAGGCACCTCTGTAATGCAGCAATGTCTTTGATAATATCTATGGTAAAAACACCAACCTGACTCCAAGGCCTGCTCTCTTAGAGCATTGGTCAAGGGAGGTTGATGACATAATGACAAAGCCTAAGGCAGCTCAAGCAATTCTACTGAGAATACAGGGGGTATAGGAAAGGATTATTATGGTTTTTAAAACAAGCAAATTGTATTGATATATTACTAAGAACTTAAAATTTCATAATGGTCTTACCTTTTGTGGTAATTAATGTATGAGTAGGTTCAGCATCAACAACTGTTTGTGAAATAAAAAAAAATTAAATATTTGTAAAAGCCCCTAATAATTGCATGCAGATAGTGACTATTATTTGGTTCGCAGATACATGGAATCCTCCATATTTGGTTCATGGTGATATGATATATAGATGATAGATGATAGATAAATAGAATCTAGAAGACCTATGTATGTGTGTATGTATGTAACTATCGATCCATCCATCCATCCACCCATCCTGTATCAGCATCCTATAGCTGTAGGGAGAGTTTGAATACAAAGACGATTCTGAAAATACAGTCCACTGAGTTGCATTTGACCTACTGATACTGACCCTCAAAATCTAACCCATCTATCCAAAAATAACGTATTCTAGGCTGTTTTGAAATTGGCCCACGGAAGCCTAAGGTACCACAGGGCGTTTGAATGAAAAGTAAAACAAGACTCCCACACTGCACCGAAGTGTCTCAAAGAGAGTTTTAAAAGACTGAAGAACTACACGATTCCAAAATAATAAAATCTACTGAGATAGAGTGTTAATTGATCTAATTCCTATATTTAAATCTATTATTTAATTAATAATTTTATCTCTTGGGAAGCATATTATGTGAAGTAGATTGGCATAAAATATTATTAAAGTCTAGAGAGTACTACATGGTGGGCATGGAACACCATTAATTCCTCCAATCCTTGTCTTTACATGATCTGCTACTTAATCTCAGAAGGAGATTTAATTGGTCTTACATGATTTATTCCATAGTAAATTCTGATTCCTCTCCAGAATCTTAATACCTTCTGGTTTGGTGGAGATGACAAACTTTACCCCCTTTTCCTTTTATGCTGTAAGGCTTTATAAGCTGACTCTTCAAACCACCTGCAACTCCACAGTCCATATGCCTGGGTATCCCATCATAAATGTATTGATATACCTAAATCATTATGGCAGCTACACAGACAGAGTTTGCTCCCACAGAGCTGCAGACAACAACTAATCACTAGGGATTCTTCACTTACTCAGGGAGAGAGCTTGCATGAGACCTGTAACCACATTATAATCCCACGTGTGACCCCTTAATATTTGAAAGAAACAATGGCCTGTGAACATAGGTACTGCAAGGAAAATTCTTACTTTTTGGTCTTTTACAAATATATCCTTTGTAGGAAGAACAGTGAATATTATTCCAAAATCCAGAAGATGCGGATAAAGCTACACAATCATTTCGTTCACCAGAGGGATCTCCTGTGTTCCAGTTGACAAAGGAGACTGGATTGTTGTTTACCCACAGCCACTTTCCTGATGATCAAATGAAGTCAGTAAAAACAGAAGTTAAGAATTACCCATCTTCAAATAAAATCAACCTACTCATGCAGAATTTCTAAGCATATTATTTTATACTATAATCAATAGTTGTTTACAACCAGACTTTTAGTATGCAAGATTACAATGACCAATTATTACAGGGAAAAAAAACTGAAAAGAATATGTTTCTTATATAGCTTTAGTTGAAAACTGATTCCTAATTAGTACAAATACATATGCTTATCCTTCCCTAATTTTTTTTTTCTGGCAAAAGATAGAAATTATTTTTTAAAGCTTCTTAAACTAACTTAGCTACACAACACTCCTTTAATCAATAGCCTTCAAGATAGCACAATATGTGAGTCATTTAAAATTTCAGTTCTTATTTTAAATGAAAATATAAGTTTGAATTTTCAAACTCTTCACAAATTAATCATTATTTAAGGCAAGACTTTCTGGAACAGAAAACTTGTTTTGCACAGAGCATTTTGAAATATTTGTGATTAAATAATTATTCTGCAAATTTACCTTCAACATTTCTGAACAATCCTATCCAAAAATTGGTTTTGCTTTGAAGTGGTTCTACTCGATAGGACAGAAAACTTGATTCAGCAGCACTTTCAATGGAAACCAAAGAGGAGCCTGCAAAGTATGAAGAAACAATGTGATGGAACTACATTTAAGTAACTAAAAATATTTTTATAATGATAGTATTGATAGCAAGAGCAATAAAAACGTCTCCACTTAAGGTGAAGAATTTCAAAGAGTATACATTTGACTTCTCAAAATTTCAGTTTCCCTTCTGAAAATATGATTGGGGGGAGCACCTGGGTGGCTCAGTCGGTTAAGCAGCCAACTCTTGATTTTGGCTCAAGTCATGATCTCAGGGTCATGAGGTCGGGCCCTGCATTGGGCTCTGCTCTAGGCGTGGAGCCTGCTTAAGATTCTCTCTCTCCCTTTGCCCCTCCCCTGCTCATGCTCTCTTAAAAAAAAAAGATTTTTTTTTTAAGCATAATTTTTGTATCAGCACTGGATGAGCTGTGGCAAGACATGCAAAGACCAGTAGGACAATGTGTCTTTTTTTTTTTTTTTTAACTCTGCTTTAATGTTTCACAGGCACATGAAGCTCAACATGTACAAAACAAACTCATAAAATTTTTGCCTAGAAATCTTATTTCTCCTTAGCTGTTTACATATCAGCAAACAGCTGATATGGCCTGTGAATATAGGTACTGCAAGGAAAATTCTTACTTTTTGATCCTTTACAAATATATCCTTTCCACTCACTCAAGTGTGAACATGAGAGTCATTCTTGACTTCCACCCTTTCTAGTGCCTATGCCCAAATTCTGTTGTGATTTTACTGTTTCAATAGTTGTCACATCTGTCTGCTTCTCCCTGTTTCTACTACCTCTACCTTAAGAATGGGCACTAGCATCTCATACTCAAATTATTGCACCAGCTCTTGTGGTAGACAGAATCTAAGATGGTTCACTTTGATCCCTGCCTCCTGATATATAAGCATTTATGTAATATCCTCCTCTTGAGTGTGGGTTTGGATATAGCGATGTGTGTGTGTGTGTGTGTGTGTGTGTGTGAATTTTTTAAATTTGAGTACAGTTGACACACAATGTTACATTAGTTTCAGGTGTACAAATTAGTGACTTGACAAGTTTATATATTATGCTATATTCACCACAAGTATAGTTACCATCTGTCCCATTACATCACTATTATAATATCACTGCATTCCTTTTGCTCTTTCATTCCCTTTACTTACTGATTCCATAACTCGAGGCCTGTATCTCTCCCTCTCTCACCTTCACCCATTTTGCCCAACCTTCTACCTCCCTCCCTCTGGTAACCATCAGTTTGTTCTCTGTATTTAGAGTTCTGATTCTGCTTTTTGTTTGTTTATTATTTTTTTTAGATTCCATCTGTGAGTGGAATCATATGGTATTTGTTTGACTTATTTCACTTGGCAAAATACCCTCTAGGTCCATCCGTGCTGTTTTAAAAAAAGCACAGTCTCATCCTTTTTTATGGCTGTGTAATATTCCAGTGTGTGTGTGTGTGTGTGTGTGTGTATACATACTACATTGTCCCTATCCACTTGTCTATTGATAGACACTTAGATTGCTTCTGTGTCTTGGCTATTATAAATAATGCCGCAGTAAACATAGGGGTGCATATATCTTTTTGAGGTAGTGTTTTTGTTTTCTCTGGGTAATACCCAATAGTGGAATTATTGGATAATATGATAGTTCTATTTTTAATTTTTTGAGGAATTTCCATACCGTTTTCCACAGTGGCTGCACCAATTTTCATGCCCACCAACAGTCTGTGAGGGTTCCTTTTTCTCCGCATCCTCACCAACAATTGTTATTTCTTTTCTTTTTGATTTTAGCCATTCTGACAGGTGTGAGATGATACCTCATTGTGGCTTTGATTTCTATTTCCCTAATGATTAATGATGTTGAGCATCTTTTCATATGTCTGTTGGCCATCTGGATGTCTTCTTTGGAAAAATGTCTATTCAAGTCATCACAGAGTATGTCTTAACAAGGTTATGGTTCAGGAGATAGCATAGATTGAAGGATGGGTTAGAAGAGAAAATATGTATGATATGTAATTAACATGTCAAATGAGGGGAAGATTTGTTTTAGGTGGAGCAACTAAAGCGGAGCATGGAGAAAATAGAATTTAAGATATTAAGAAGCATAGGATTTCAAGTGGAAAGAATAGAAAATAATTCCAAGAAGAGAAGGAATGAGAGAGGAGACAGAGAGGGAAGCATAGAGCTTCTTCAAGAACATGGCACACATGGGGTGGCTGGGTGATAGACATTGGGGAGGGTATGTGCTATGGTGAGCGTTGTGAATTGTGTTAGACTGTTGAATCACAGACCTGTACCTCTGAAACAAATAATACATTGTATGTTAAAAAAAAAAAAGAAGAAGAAGAAGAAGATAGCATGAGGGGAAGAATGAAGGGGGTGGAAATCGGAGGGGGAGACGAACCATGAGAGACTATGGACTCTGAAAAACAAACTGAGGGTTCTAGAGGGGAGGGTGGTAGGGGGATGGGTTAGCCTGGTGATGGGTATTAAAGAGGGCACGTACTGCATGGAGCACTGGGTGTTATACGCAAACAATTAAT